TAATAATCCTTTCTTAGTGAGCCCCTAAAAGCCAAAAGGAACCTATGTGCCAAATTTGTAGGCTTTACGGTGCTGGGAGATTTTGTGATGATGTGTTTTGATACTGTATATAAAATATATTTTGCATTGCTTTTGTCATTTGCATCGGACAGTACTGTTTATATTTCCCTTTATTATTTATATGTGATTTTTATTACAGGTGATCCTCAACGTATGGCCACAATGGAGCCCCCAAATTTTCGTTGCTGAGCGAGACGGTTGTTCAATGAATTTGGCTCCGTTTTACGCCCTTGCCCGCCACGATGGTTTAAGCGCGTCACCGCCCTGGTTAAGTCAGCCCACACGCTTGGCGGTTCAGCCAATCTGGATTCTCCGTGGATATTGCGTGCGAGACGGTCGCAAAAGGCGATCACGGGGACCCCGTCATAACTACGAGTCAGTTGCCGAGTGTCCAAATGTTGATTTTCGTGAGCCTGGGGAATGCTGCAACGGTCGTGAAGTGTGAAAAATGGCCATAAGTCGCTTTTTTTCAGCACCGTTGGAACTTGGCAACGGTCCTTAAGTGAGCTGTTGTAAGATGAAGATTACCTGTAATTCTATTTTATGCCATTATATTTTAGTTTGGATAGAATAAGCAAGTTGGAAGGGGCCTCAGAGGTCTTCTAGTCCAACCCCCTGCTTCGGTTTATTTTACTTATTCTCTTAGCTCACTTTCGAAGAAGAGCTACAGGGCAAGACTTCCTTCTAGCTTTTCTCTTTATTATTCTTATTTGTTTGGGAGGCTTGAGATGTAAGCTGTCCTTTTGTTTAGTTTTTCACCCATTGTTTCTCTTTCTATAACCTCTCCAAGTGGCTTCTGTTTGCAGGCTCTTATCAAAGCCAGAACTTTGTGTATCTTTGTGTTAGTTGTGGCTAAAAGCCGATAAGTTTGCTCTCTCTCTCTCTCTCTCTCTCTCTGTCTCTGTCTCTGTCTCTCTCTCTTTGGGAAAACTCTCTGATTATTATTTTTCTTGTATCTGTCTGGAGGAGACCCTGGGCCGCTTGCAATCCCTTGCAAAAGCCACAAGGTCAAATATGAATAAAATAAAATGAAATAAATAAAATAAAATAAAACAATAAAGTAAAAGTAAAGTAAAAGCAAAATAAAAGTAAAGTAAAAGCAAAGCAAAGTAAAGTAAAAGCAAAGTAAAGTAAAGTAAAGTAAAGTAAAGTAAAGTAAAGTTAAAGTAAAGTAAAGTAAAGTAATGTAAAAGTAAAGTAAAGTAAAATAAAAGTAAAGTCTAAAGTAAAGTAAAGTAAAAGTAAAGTAAAAGTAAAGTAAAGTAAAGTAAAGTAAAAGTAAAGTAAAGTAAAGTAAAGTAAAGTAAAATAAAAGTAAAGTCTAAAGTAAAGTAAAGTAAAGTAAAAGTAAAGTAAAGTAAAATAAAAGTAAAGTCTAAAGTAAAGTAAAGTAAAGTAAAAAGTAAAGTAAAATAATAAAATAAAAAATAAAATAAAATATGGGATTAAGGCTACAATTGAAACTAGCGCTCTCCTGCTCAGCTCCCCCATTTAGGGCTAGCAGAGATGGGAATTGTAGCCCGGCACATTCCCTGAAGCTGGGAGAGTGGGGTGGGATGGGATGCCGAATAACAGAATAACAGAGGTCGGAAGGGACCTTGGAGGTCATCTAGTCCAACCCCTTGTCGAAGCAGGAGGCTCTATCCCATTCCAGACCAGTGGCAGCTCAGTCTCTCCTTTAAAAGCCTCCAGGGATGGAACAGACACAACTTTCTAGAGGGATGGAGTTGGGGGGGGGTTGAGGGTCACTCCTGCTGCTGGGTCGCCTTTTCAACTTTCGCAGGGGCACCCAGAGGTCTTCTAGTCCGACCCCCCCCCCCCGGCTCAGAACCCCAAGGTAACCGAGTTGGAAGGGACCTCGGAGGTGCTCTAGTCCAACCCCTTGCTCAAGCCAGGAGACCCTTAATCCCAGAGTCTCCCGCTTGGGCGGGTGGGACTAGATGACCTACAAGGTCCCTTCCGACTCCTGATGATCTGTTTTATCTGTTCTCATTTCAGACCAATGGTCGTCCAATCTCCTCTTTAAAAAAAAAAAACCTCCAGGGATGAAGCACCCCCCTGCACAACTTCTGAAGGAGGGGAGGCCACCCCTGCCCCTGGGTCGCCTTTTCCGCTTGGGAAGGGGCACCCAGAGGTCCTCTAGCCCAACCTGCTGCTCCTGGAAAGACGAGGGAAAGTGGGGTGTGTGTGTGTGTGTGAGAGAGAGAGAGAGAGAGAGAGACTTGTGACTTGTCTGGCAATTGCTGTCTAGAATATCCGGAGCGGGTGGCGGGAGCTTCGTGCGCCTGGCGCTCGCCCAAGGCAAGGAGGCGTCAAAGCCGCGGCCGCCACCGCTTGGGGTCAGCCTGTGCTCGACGCTTCTCCTTTTCCCGGCCCAGCAGGGGCGGTCCCACCTCCGCCCAGTACTTAAACCCGGGCTGGGACTCCTTGCTCGGCTTAGGAGAGGCAGCCAGCGCGGCAAGGAGGGAAGGCGGGAGCGCCCCGGGGCGAGCGAGTCTGAGCTGGTGCGCGCCGTCGGAGAAGGCGAAAAGAAAGAGAGAAAGGAAGGAAGAAGGGAAAGAAAGAAGGAAGGAAAGGAAGGAAGGAAGGAGGCAAGCAAAGAAGGGAAAGAAAAGGAGGGTCGACATTGGAGGCCGATGGATTTCCAGCCGTGGATCCCGCTGCTCGGTCTCTGCTGCGCCCTGAGCCTGGTATCCGGGCAGAGGCACACGGTCTTCTGGAACAGCACCAACCCCAAGTGAGTTCACGTGTACGGAGGGGGGTGGGCGCAGGGCAGCCTCTAGGCTCGGAGGGGCAAGGACCCACCCCCCACCTTCCTTTCAAGCCCCCCGATTTGGGCCGCGTCCTCTACTTAGACGCCCTCCAGGCTGGCTCTGCTGCGCGCCATGGAGAGGCGCGCGGGGGACCCTCCGCTCCGACCCTTCTATTCCCCCCCCCCGCCGCTTCCCGGATCGGGGAAACGGGGGTGTCCGGTTTCAGCCGAGGAGCCCCCCCCCTCTGCCCCCCCCGCTGTCTTCCAGACTCCCTACCAGCCAAGCCTAAAAAGGGGGATTTAATTTGGATAGACTGGCGCAGAGGCGTTTTCAGCCGCCTTTGGGTTCCCAAGCGAGCCCACCGCCTCAATTTAAAGGGTTAAAGGAGCCGGGTAACCTTTGGATTACCCCCCCCTCCCCGCGTTTCCTGCAAAGGGAAGAAGGGGAGGGGGTTCTCCCCACCCCAACCCAACCCAACCCCACCCACCCGGCGCCCACTTCCAGAGTCAAAAAACATCTCCAAAACTCCTTCCCTGTATTTTCGGTGGCACCCCAAAATCGGGCCCTTTCAAACTCGGGTGCCAGCTCCAAAGCTTGCCAGCCGGGGTGCTGGTGCAAACTTGCACGCTTGCATGCCCCTTTCCCTCTTGGCTGGGATCTCTCCCCGCAACACACCCCTCCCCACCCCTGCGTCTCTCGCTCGCTCTCGCTCTCTCTTTCTCTCCTTTCTCTCTTTCTTTCTCTCTCTTGTCCATCTCTGTTTCTTTCTCTCTCTTTCTTTCTCTCCTTCTCTCTTTTGCTCTTTCTTTCCTTCTTTCTCTCTCTTCATCTCTCTTTTTCTCTTTCTCTCTCTCTCCATCTCTCTCCTCTTTTTCTCTCTCCCTCTCTCTCTTTCTCCATCTCTCTCCTCTCTCTCTTTCACTCTCTTTCTTCATCTCTCCTTCTCTCTCTCTCTGTCTCTCTCTTTCTCTCTCTCTCTGTCTCCATCTCTCTCCTTCTCTCTTTCTCTTCATCTCTTTCTTTCTCTCTTTTTCTCTCTCCTTCTCCATCTCTCTCCATCTCTCTCCTCTCTTTCTCTCTCTCTCCTTCCCATCTCTGTTTCTTTCTCTCTCTTTCTCCCTCTTTCTTTCTCTCCTTCTCTCTTTTGCTCTTTCTTCACCTCTTTCCCTCTCTCTCTCTCTTCATCTCTCTTTTTCTCTTTCTCTCTCTCCTCTCCTTCTCTCTCCCCCCCTTTCTCCATCTCTCTCCCCCCTCTCTTTCTCCATCTCTCTCCCTCTCTCTCTTCATCTCTCTTTCTCCTTCTCCTTCCCTCTCTCCTTCTCTTTCTCCCTCCCTCCCTCCTGTCTGGCATTTTTACTGCTGAGAGTTAAAACTCCCCACCAAACCTTACCGGACAGCTGGGTTTCCTTCCTGCGCGAGACAAGCCAACTTAGACCCAGAAAGAGGGGTGGGTTGCTGGCAGTGGGAGGAGCTTCCCTCTCCACCTTGGCAGGAGGGAAGAGGAGAGAACACAGCATTTGTAAACAGCCAGTGTGTGTAGGCCTGCCTTGGCACCTGGCCCGTACCTGGGAACAGTCACAAGGGCGTGAAGACAGCCTCGCTAAGGAAAGGAGTGGGCAGTGCCAGTTGTTATTGTTATTCTTCTTCTTCTTAAATTTATTTGCCGCCTATCTGGCCCTTCGAGACAGCCTCCTCGTTGCAGCTACTCCTCGTTGCAGCCTCCTTGCACTTACTTTCTAGCAACCGTGCTGCCATCGCTGTAAAAAAAAAGTAAAAAGTAAAAAGTAAAATACCCTTCAAATATCTTCTTTCAAGCCAGGACAGGGAGGTTAGAAACGCCTTTCTAACCGGTTCCCCGCCCTGTGTGGTTTGCTTTGAACATGGGGTGCCGGTCTGGAATGGCTTTCCAGTAGCAGGGAGTTCCAACGGCTCTCATTCTTTTCTCTTCCCGAGGTTATTCCGCGGGCCGCCACCTTGGCGACGTCTGCAAATCTGTCTTGGAGCAAGGCGGGGTTACCTGATTATCTGGGGTGCCGAGTTGGGGGAAGGGGGGGGCGTTGGTTGGTTGGGGGGGTAGTGTTAAGACTGTGGTGGCTGGGGGGGTAGAGAGATTCAGGCTTGGGTGGGATCCAAGGCAGAAGGAAGGAGAGAAACTCCCGTCTTCCTCTGGGGTTCTTTATTTCCAGATTGATTTCGGGGTGATGCAAGTGGCGCTTTCAGGGGTGTGTGCGTGTGCCTGGGCCTGTGAAGGCCTGCCTCTGAGCATAAGACGAGCGCAAGCTTTCCTGGCTGGGTTTTTAGACATGGTGGTAGGGTTGCTTGTGGAGGTCTGTGGCACCCACAGGGTTAAACCCTCATGTTTTTCCCAGAAATTGTTTGGCTCCGCAGGAAAACCCAGGCGTAGCAGCTGCGTCCTGTTGTGAACGCCTCAAGGCTGGGGGGCTCTCCAGGTGGTCTCCTCTCCCTCCCTCCCCTCCTCCTCTTCTGTCTCCTCCCCAATTTGTCCATGCCCTTCTTCCCTGGTCGTTGTTTTTTTTTTGTGCACCCAGCTATATATTTATATTTTGGGGATATTTTTATTTTCCACCAATTCCCCCCTCCATTTCTGCCTGTTTTCCCTTGGGCTGAAAGTCTTAGCAGTCCGCCAGATGTCAGGACTACACCTCCCATGCTCCTTTGCCACGGGGCCCAAGGAGCCGAGCTTGAGGGAAAAACAGGAAGGTGATAGGGTTGGAATGATTGGTGTATGTGTCCCATTTATCGGCCGCTCGTCGTTCAAGCGGCTCTGGACTAAAGCACGAAGCTACGGGTTCTAACTCTTCCTCCACTCCAGCAGCTGAATGGGAGGCAGCCTCCCTCTCAGGGTTGTTGTGGGGGGTGGGAAGTGGTAGAGGGACCGTTTAACAGAAGAAGAGAGTTAGAAGGGACCTTGGAGGTCTTCTAGTCCAGCCCCCTGCTTAGACAGGAAACCCTATACTGTTACACACAGTGATAGATAGATAGATAGATAGATAGACAGACTGACTGACAGACAGACAGACAGACAGACAGACAGACAGACAGACAGACAGAGGTAGGTAGGTATATGATAGAAAGAGATGGATGGATGGATGGATGGATGGACGGACAGATAGATAGATAGATAGATAGATAGATAGATAGATAGATAGATAGATCAGATAGATAGATAGGGTAGATAGATAAATAGGTGGATGGATGGATAGATAGATAGATAGATAGACAGACAGACAGACAGACAGAGGTAGATAGGGATAGATAAAGATAGATAGATAGATTAGATTAGATTAGATTAGATTAGATGATAGATAGATAGATAGATAGATAGATAGATAGATAGATAGATAGATAGATAGATAGATAGATAGATGATAGATAGGGTAGATAGATAAATGGATGGATGGATGGATGGATGGATGGATGGACGGGCAGATAGATAGATAGATAAAGATAGATAGATAGATAGATAGATAGACAGACAGACAGACAGACAGACAGAGGTAGATAGGGATAGATAAAGATGATAGATAGATAGATAGATAGATAGATAGATAGATAGATAGATAGATAGATAGAGATAGATAGATAGATAGATAGATAGATAGATAGATAGATAGATAGATAGATAGATAGATAGATAGAAAGGAAGGAAGGAAGGAAGAAAGCAAGGAAGGTAGGACAAAGAATTGGAAGGGACCTTGGAGGTCTTCTAGTCCAACCCCCTGCTTAGGCAGGAAACCCTACGTACCACTTCTGGCAAATAGATTTATCCAATCTCTTCTTTAAAATAAAAAACCTTCCACTCTTGGAGAATTTATAACCCCTCCCCTCCCGCCCCCCCGGGCCAAAACAAGGAGGGTCTCTGGCCTTCGCAGAAGGAATGCCCCATCCAAACATCCCCTCCCTCCTTTCTACTCCTCCCCTTCCCCCCCCCACTCCTTTTTTTTGGTTGTTTTTTTGTTTTAAAAAGGCTGGACTTTGGATCCACATTGCAGAAACTCAACCAGGTGGAAAATCTTGGCAAGGCCAGGCGCGGGGAGGAAAGAACCTCAGGCCGGTCAGCCAAGTCCTCCTTTCCCAGGCCAGGCGCCCCGTTGGCCTCGGGCCTCTTCCTTCCCGCCAGGCTTGGCTAGCGGCCAAGGGACGGCGCCAAGGGTTATCCGGGGCAGGAAACCTTCCTTGGGTTGTTGTGTGTTTTCTCGGGGACAAACATCTTGCAAAGTTTTTCCAACTTTCTGAGACAGACGGAGTTGTTTTGGTCCAGCGCCCTGCCGATGACAGCTCCTGCGGGGTGGGTGGGTGAGGGGAAACAGAGGGAGGGGTTGTGTTTTTTAGGATGGGGTGGATGAGGGTGAGAGAGAAAACACACGAGGCGGTTACTGTGGGCGACTCGAATCCGGGGCCGAGAGGCCGACGGAGTCAGAAGTGGAGACGTCAGACAACACCATTCTCCAACTGCGATTTTTATTTTTGCAGCCAGCCGTGGGAACTCAAGGTTTAATTTCGAAGACAAACACATACACACCCGTCGTAACTCAAGGCAGCCCCCTCCCCATTTCAGACCTGGGGGAGGGGTTGATTGACATCCCCTTTGCCCACTTAATTCCTGCATTCCCCCCCCTTTTCCTGACCCCTTTCCCCCCTAGCCCACCCCCCAAAAAAACGCCTCCTCCTAAGTTCAGAATCTAACTGTCCGTTTCTTCCGTGCCACAAATCCTTTTCCAGGTGTTTGGGAGGAAAGGGACATCTGAAGAACATCTGGAGGGCACTTGGTTGCCTGTCTATATTTTTTTTTGGTCATCCTTGGTTCAGGCAACACCTACACAAACACACACACACACACACACACACACACACACACAGAGACACAAACACACACACCCCATTCCAGCTCAGCTAAAACCTTGGCCTTTTTTTTGGCTTTGCGTCGGCTTTTCAGCTTCCAAAACCTTAATTTTATTTTATTTTTATTTTGGGGGGGTCTCTTTCTCTCCCTGTGCAACTTTGCCAGATGTGTGGGGTGATTTCTCCACCACCCCGTTTTGCCCACCTTCCGGGGTGATCTTTGCAAATCGGGGGTCAGATCCTGGGTGGTTGTGAACGGAAGGCAGGTGGAGCGGAGCATGTCAAATGCCTGTATCTCTTTCTCCCTCTCTCTCTCTCTCTCTCTCCCTTTGAAAGGGGAGGATGCTAAAAGTGGTTTATTGCCAAGGATCAGCCCAGCCTTGGCGGGGGCCCCGTCAGACCGGTTTGGCAGAAGCCGTAGTTTGTTCATTCCTTCGTTCCCAGCTGCTGCGTGGGGAAGCAGATAAACCTTTAATAACTAACTTCACCTTTGGAATGTCGCTCGGCGTGGATCCTCTGGAAATTGGGATATGCTCGCTTAAAAGATCATTTTTTTTGGGGGGGGGAGGCTATCCATCCTATCCAGCAAAACAAACCAGCATTTCTCCCTTCCGAGGTTTAACGTCCTGCCTGGTCTTTGGGGCCAACATAAACCAGCTTTCGTGGTTTACCTTCCTTTGAATCCTTTGCAAGGAACAGTCACGCAGAGGTTTTGCTTGCTTTCGGGGGAGGACGAGGCATCCACACCTTTTGTTCCCCTTGTTCATTGAGTGGAGCTTGGGCTTTTTTTGTTTTTGTTTTGGTTGGGTTGGACTAGATGACCCACAAGGTCCCTTCCAACTCTGTTAATCTGTAATCTGAAACAGAAGTTGCCCTCGGAAAGGTGTGGGAGCTTCATCCCTGGAAGCTTTGGAGAAGAGACTGAACTGCCATCCATCAAAATGACCAATCTGCTTGGCTGGTGGGGGGTTGGGGTTGGACTAGATGACCTCCAAGGTTCCTTCCAACTCTGTTAAATCTGTATAGGATGGGGATCACGTGACACACACACCCCCTCCGGGGTTTGGATTGGCATAAACGCATACCGGTTGCCAAGCGCCTGGCTTTTTGTGATCACGTGACCGTAGGGAATTCTGCGACGGTCATAAGCACGCGGATTTGTCCTAAGTGCCCTTTTATATCTTCTCCCAGGAACTTTGGTCACTTTTTTTAAAAAAAATGGTCGTAAGACGAGGACGCCTCGGGTTCTTCCTTTTGACCGAGGACCGAATCTGCCTGGCAGCGAAATGTCAAACGCGGAATCTTTGAACAGGAAAATATAGGAGGAATAATCAGTGTTTAAAAGATGTTGGGACCATGAAAAATGTCTAAAATACAATGTCTGGCTGTGATAAAAATCAGGGGGGCCGGAAAGAGATTTTTGCAGAGTAAGATCAAATGTTGCTTACTCTCACAAGCCTCTTGCGATATATTTGTGGGGTTTTTTTATTTAAAAAAAAATCAGATTAAAAGGGAAGTAATGCGGCTGGTGCGTGCCTTCATTGCAGTGGGGGCTTTAAATGCAGTTTATGTCACTTCTGGACCCCTCCCCACCATTGTCACCTGTAAAAATCAAGGAACTTCAGAAGGGAATGTTCTTTTTTTTTTTTTTTTTTGCAATCATTTTATTATTTTTATTTTTTGAAACATCTCTCGGAGCGAACAATTGTGGTTCCAGGTTTTTTTCCTTTCAGGACAAACCTGAACCACGGTTACCTATTTAAATTCCTTATCCAATTCCAGAATATCATTACCTATTCGCTTTTTTTCTTTTTAAACTCTTCGTAAATTACTTTATAGCATTATCTATATTCTTAATCAATCTCTATATCCATTATGCACGTTTTCTTGCGTTCGTCAAACCCAGCCGGAGCATCTGGTTAACTGTTCAATAAACAATGATGGATAAGGAATTTAAATATATAACCATGGTCAGGTTTGTCCTGAAAGGAAAAACCTGGAACCACAACCTAATAATAATAATAATATAAATCTTGCAGAATATTTTGCAAACATCTGGGGTTAGGAGAGAATTGGAAATGAAAATGTTCAAGGAAAAACTGAAATATATTACATCCAATAAAGATGAACGAAAAGAGAATCAGAGCAAATAAAAATTAGTATTTCTTCTGGAGGGAAGAGGAAAAATTAACCACGTGCAACATGTATACTCAACTTTATGGGGGTCGAGGGAGATTTATTCCTGGATTTAAAAAAACTGGGGTCCTTTTTTTTTAATGCTTTTATGTAGGTGAAAAAAACTCCCCCACCTTTTGCCAAAATGCAGGATTATGGATTGAAACTGATTGCGAGTAATCTCAGGGTTCCTGTTTGCCTAAGTAGGAAACCCATCTTGGCTGTGGGTGATAGGAACCGTAGTTATTCCATAAAGTTTCAAAGGCTCTTTCAGGCTCTTATGGATATACTGGGAAGCTAATTCCACGACACGCTCGATTAAAAAAAAAGAAAGAAAGTGTTTTAATTCCCATTTATTGGATTTGTGAAGGCCGCCTGTTTGAAAACGACACGATTAAAAAGAGATTTAAAAAAAAACCCAGCAATGAGAAGATGGTAATGCCAGACTGAACGTATTTAAATTTCCAAGGGATGGAAGATGCAACTAGCAAATTTGGGGAAAAAATAAAACCGGAGGGAGAATCAAACTGGATTATGAAATAATGCCAGCTCTGGATTAATCTCTAAGATTTAAACTATACTTTATAGTTTAAATCTTAACATTGATTGACAGGCCTCCCTCCTTGTTATTTAGTTTCTGGGGGCCCTTCAGATGCCCTTGGTCAACCTGTATAAGGGTAGTCCTTGACTTACGACCACATTTGAGGCCGTCACTAAGCAAGTCACACCTGATTTCACATCCTTTTTTTGGTGGGGGGGTTATCTTCGTTAAGCAGAATCACCGCAGTCCTTAAAGGATCCACATAGTCATTAAACCAATCTTTGCGTTCTCCCACCCATATTAGAACAATGACAGAGTTGGAAAGGGACCTGGGAAGGTCTTCTAGTCCAACCCCAGCTCAGAATAGAGAATAACAGAGTTGGAAGGGTCCTGGGAAGGTCTTCTAGTCCAGCCCTCTGCTTAGGCAGGATATCCTTAACCCCACTTCAGACAAAGCTAGCTTCCCTCCCTCCCTGGAGCGTAGATTCCCTAAAGCGAGCTCAGTCATGAAGCGAGGCGCTCCCAGCTCTCGTTATTAAGCAAACCACACCGCCGTTGATCCAATCTGGCTTCTCTCTCTTGGCTGTAGATTCCCTCTCTCGATGAGGTATGTGTGTCTACCTTGCAGGGTTGTTGTTTGTAAGGATGATTGCCGAATTTGGAAGTTTTTTGGGAAAAAAAAAAGGATTCTGATGTTCTGTTTATATATATTTTTTAAAAGCCTTTCTTTGGATCTCGTTTTTAGGTTCCAGAGGGAGGATTACACCGTCGAGGTGCGCCTCAATGACTATTTGGACATCATCTGTCCGCACTACGAGGATAACAGCGTCCCCGCCCATGCGATGGAGCGCTACACCTTGTACCTGGTGGAACGGGAGGAGTACGACACCTGCAAACCCCGGTCTAAGGAGCAAGTTCGTTGGCAGTGCAACCGGCCGGATGCCCTTCACGGCCCCGAGCGGCTCTCCGAAAAATTCCAACGTTTCACACCGTTCACCCTCGGCAAAGAATTTCGGGAGGGCCATGAATATTATTATATCTGTAAGTCTCCTTTTCGGGGTGGTGGTGGAAAACAAACCAAAACCTCGTAGGCTTGTTGGTTTATCTGTGGCAGGAGCACCCTGATTGAAAATAAAATGTAAAAGATAAAATACTAGATTAGAACATTGGAATGGAATTAGAATTAGAATTAGAATTAGAATTAGAATAGAATAGAATAGAATAGAATAGAATAGAATAGAATAGAATAGAATAGAATAAGAAATAGAATAGAATAGAATAGAATAGAATAAGAAATAGAATAGAATAGAATCAGAAATAGAATAAGAATAGAATTAGAATAGAATTAAAATAGAATAGAATAAAGAACATAATAGAATAAGAACTAGAACAGAATAGGAATTAGAATCAGAATTAAAATGATAATAGAGAATAGAATAGAATAAGAAATAGAATAAGAAATAGAATTAGAGCAGAATTAAAAAAGAATAGAATTAGAATAAAGAATAGAATAGAATGAGAACTAGAATAGAATAGGAATTAGAATAAGAATTAGAATAGAGAATAGAATAAGATAGAATAGAATAGAACAGAGAAAGAATAGAATAGAATAGAATAATAGTTGAAAGGACCTTGGAGGTCTTCTAGTCTGACCCCCTTACTCAAACATTTTCTGTTTTTTCTGATTCTCACCAGCTGATTTTTTTAAAAAAAATATTTTCTCTGATTTTTTAAAATAAGTTTTTTCTGCTTTTTAAATATTTTTTCCTCTCTTTTTCCTTTGGTTAGCAAAACCGATTCACCGGCACCGAGATTCCTGTCTTAAATTGAGGGTGAAGGTGGTTGGGAAGAAAAGTAAGTATTTCAGCGTTGAAATATTTCTTTTTTGAGTCTCGCCGTCTCCGCTTTTTCTTTTTTTAAAAAAGTAATTCATTAGGTTTTCCTACAAAGAATATTTGTTGGACGAAGGGAGCAGCGTAGCCGCAATTATGACTTTGCCCCGTTTCATGATTCAGACTTACTCAGGGTGGTGCATACAGGTGGTTTTCATTTAGTGGCGCCTCGTTCAGCGACCGTTTAGTCGTGACAAGGATGAAAATTAATTTGACCTCTGTTCTTTCAATTTATAACCTTTGCGGGTCTGTAAAGCAAAAGGAAAGCTGAAGGAAGATTGTAAAATGAATGTTTCACTTAGGGACTGATTCATGGAATGACCAAATTGTTTTGGTCACTGAATGAGGGCAATTTGTATGGGGCGCCAGACTCTCATTTCATACCACAATAACCTTGTGAGAAGGAGGAGAGGCTGGGTGGGGGAACCATGTTACTAATTTGGGAACTGCAGCGATTCACGTAACAGCGGAAGCAGGAAAGGTCATAAAATGCAGCAGTTCTCACTTAGCGACATAAATTTGGCACTCAATTGTGGTTGTACATTTGAGGACTGCTTGTAGAGCCCCTCTGGAGAAAAAGGAGAGAGAGAAGGATGTGAGTCAAGATGGAAGGTGGGGAAGGGATTTCAGGATTCATGGTATCCAGATATTTAGGGGTTGTCTGAACTTAATGTTGTCTCTTTCTTCCGTCATAGCTCTGATACCACCTGGCCACATCCCGACGCAGAAGGGGACTCTTCAATCAGGTAGGCCCAGAAATGGAATTCTGGGAAATTGTGGGTCGGTGGGGTTGTCCTCGTTCCCAATAAAAATCTGTGGGGTGCATACGAGACAAATATTCCCTCCCTTATTTATCTCCTCGCTGATTTCCACAGACGATCCGGACACCCCGATGCGCAGCATGGGGTACAATTCCGCCCCACGGCTCGGCAGCCCGCTGCCCTTCGTCGGCCTCTTGCTATTGGTCTTCCTCTCTCGGGGGCCCTGAAGGGAATCTCACCCACCCACCCCCAAAGGAACCCCCAGATTGAGCCAGGCAGGGTGGATCCCAACGAGGTCCATGTGGCGAGCGAGACGGCAACGTGGGATCTTCAGGGTTATTGACCTCGAAACCGCCGGTAGTGCCAGGCGCGAGGAAGCGCAGTGCACGACGCAGGTATGGTAAAGACAGCATGCAAATCCTCTCTTGTTCTCGAGAGAGAGATCTCGTTGGACTCCCGGTGCGAGAAAGCAACGCGGCGAGCAGATGGCGTGTCCTCCGCGGGTCGGAGACGTGTCCTCTGCGAGTCAGGAGACACCGCGGATCCTCCGGAAGTTTGGTGGACGTTGTTGGACATTTCAAGCAAACTTCGTTGGACTTTTCGAGCAAGATATAAGATACGGGCTGCTTCCTAAACCACCCTCTCCCCTCCTGGACTTACGAGACCATGTGAATAATTTATCAGACTTAAAAAACAGGCAGGACCTGAATTTGGCGAAGACTTCCGCGCAACTCCGGTGACTTGGATTTTGTCCTCGCGATCCAGATGGGAAAGCTGCATCCAAAGGATATCGGTTCGAGAACTCGGATCAATACTATTTATTAAAAGGAAAAGAATGACAACCCCAGCAATGATTTTCCATTTTCAACGAGACTTTTATAAATATATATATATGATGAATTTAGGACAGCAAAACTCGGGTTTGTTCGCTTCGGGTTTTTGATCCGAAGGGGTGGAAAATTCTCTTTTTCAGATCTGTTTTCATTTGGGTAAGGGCTACAGATCTTGCGGAGGAGGAATCTCACGGGCTTTCTTTCTCCACTAGAGTACAAAAAACAATCGGTTAAAAACAGAGGCATCCCCCAAAATGCCACAAAAATAAAAAGTTTCGCTAGCATTTTACACAGGTAGTCCTAGACTTACGACCGCAACTGAGCCCAAATTTCCTGTTGCAAAGTGAGACGTTGGTTCAGCGAGTTTCACACACACACCCTTTTATGACTTTTGCGGCTGCAGTTGTTAAGGGAGTTTTATCAATTTTTAATCTAGTAACGGGGCTGGTGAGCAAATTCTCCCCTGACTGAAGGTTGCAAAAGGGATCGCATGATACCACCGTCATAAATCTAAACCAGTTGCCAAGCCTCTGAATTCTGTGACTGTCGGGAGGCTGCAAGGGTCGTAAGTGTGAAACGCGGTCATAAGTCACTTCTTTTCAGGGATGTCGTAACTTTGAACAGTCACTAAACGAAGGATTGTGAGTCAAGGACTACCTGTATATCTAACTAGGCTCAGCTGTTATAAGCCATAAATCAGAAATGTTATTATTGTATTCCGTGCCAACCTCGCGCTGTCCGTTGTGAGGGAAACTGCCTCTGTTCATGGAGGATCCATTTAGCTGCGAAGGACGGCCGTCCTTATTTAGTGACCGCAATGGGGACCGTCCACTTGGTCAGTCAGCGAAACGGTTGGTCAGTAAACCCCGTAGCCGCTGACCATCTCATTCCAAACTTGCTGTATGGGCCTGCAAAGGTTCTGAGCGTGAGAGAGCAGGACGCAACTTTTAAGTTTTCAAAAAGTTGCGTAACGGACACAAAACGAGGCCGTCGCTAAACGAGGAGGAGCTGTCGTGGGTTTTGATGCCAGTCATAGTCTCTCCCGAGCGATCTGCTCGCTGCGAATTGGTTCTTTAAAATCTTTGGCTGCTTAACGTTGATCAGGGAGGCGATCGCAGAAGGCGGATTTCTCAAGGAAAAGGGGACATTTATTTTCTGTTATTTTCTGTTTATTGTGGGATTTATTATTATTTGTAATTTCATATTTCTGTTTGATGCGGGATATATTTTTTTTATTGGTTTTAAAAAAAAAGAAGAATAAATAACACCCAAACAAAACTGGCTGTGGTGTGGAGTTTTACGGCGCAATCTCATTTTTGGCGGGGGATCAAGAGCTTGGGAGATCAATGGGTGGAGCCTAAAACAAGGGGTAGAGCCTGAAAATCGATTTTCTCGCCCCGAACGATCCTGTAAATGGAATTTTAAAACAAACGAAGGCCAAAAAAAAAATCGGTGGAAACTGCCTTGCTTTGATGCAATTCCACATTTTTATTTTTTACTTTAACTTCTCGCTTTCGGGAGCCCAGGTGGAAAAACTCCAGGCTAAACCTTGAAGCCTTGATAACTATTATGGTCTGTTCAAATGTCTGGCTTGATTTATTTGGGGGATATTGGCAGAGCTAGACCGTGGGATCGAACAAAACTTAACCGCTTGCCAAGACTTTTTCAAAGCTCCTTTGATGCATTTTTAAACGACGCTTTAAAATCGCCTTTTCACCTGATTTTTTTTTCCTCCCTTGCTGATCAAACACGGTTCTTTATTTCATCAAAAAGAACATCAATAAAAAATGAGGGGAATTGGGAGGAAAATAATAATAATAAAAGTGTCTTGCAATTGGAAAGTTGCAGGATTTAGGGGCCCTTGCGCAATGCTGTCAGGGCGAAGAGATTTCTAGTTTCTAGTCCTCAAGGTTTCGACAATTTTAATGCTTTTTTTGAGGGGGGGAGGGGGTTGTAAGCATCCCAGAGTTGCTTTGAAACGAGCCAAAGTGGCAAAATAAATTTCACCCATCATGAATAAATCAACTTGCACAGACCTCCTTCAGTCCTCAGCCCAAATGTTTGGCTAGGGCCAAGCATTATATTTTATGTTGTTTGGTTTGGGTTTTTTTTTTTTGAAAAAAGTATATTGCTTCTTTAAAAAAATTGCAATATTGCCTCCATCTTCAAGGGGGAAAAGAGTCAGCCCTGCTCTTTGGCCGCTGCTGCAAAATCTGGATTTGGCAAGTTGCAAAGCAAATTTAATCTTGTGTTTGCTGAAATCCGGGCAAACAATTCCTGGTTTGCTTAAGGCCGTGTGTGTGTGTGTGTTTGTATGTATTTAAAGCTGTTCCTTTTATAGCGCAGGCTCTTCACCTTGCTGTCATGACAAGTATAACCCAGGAGCTTATTAATAGATAATCAAAGTTGAAAAGGATCTTGTAGGTCATCTAGTCCAACCCCCTGCCCAAGTGGGGTCTCCATATATCCAGGACTAATTCACTGCCTGAATTAAGTTTATAGATAGTCCTGGACATAAGACTGACCGTGCGTGTGTGTGTGTTGTTAAAAGAATCCTACCTGACTTTACAATCTTTTTCACCGTGGTTGTTTAAACAAATTGTTCCCATCCTTAAGTGAGTCACACGGCCATTAAGTCAGTCCAGCACCCCTCACTAACTTGGCTTGTCGGAATGTCTCCAAATGGTGATCGGATGTAACCAACATAAATAGATAACTGTAAATCCATAAAACTAAGTACCTTTAAATATACTGTAGGTAGTCCTTGGCTTACAGCTGTTCATTTAGTGACTGTTTGTCATTTAGTGATGGCTTGGGCGGGGAGGGGGTGGGTCAGACTGGATGGTCCTGCAAGGTCCCTTCTACCTCTGTTAATCTGTTTTATAATAATGGCACCCTAAACAGTGACTTATGGACATTTTTCACACTTAACGACCGTTGCAGCGTGATCCGAATTCAGACTCTCGGCAACTGACTCGTACTTATGACAGTCGCAGGATCCAGGGTCTGTGTGTGTGTCATGTGATCCCCTTCTGCAGCAAGCCAAGTCAACATGGGAAGGCGGATTTGCTTAACGTCCATGTGACTAACTTAACCGCTGTCTCGTTTAGCAATGGAAATTTGGAGCTTAATTGTGGTCGTAGGTCGAGGAGTACTCGTAAATTAATCCACTTAATTGTAAGTGTCTGAACTTTGGGGATGTTACGGCGGTTGTAAACGTGAAAAACGCTCATCGGTCACTTTTTAGAGCGCTGTCGTAAAGCAATCACTAAAACGAACCGTTGTAAGCTGGCTGTGAGTCAGTTGTAAGCTGACTGCGAGGCAGTTGTAAGCCGGCTGCGAGCCAGTTGTAAGCCGGCTGCGAGCCAGGTGTAAGCCCCCGACGTAGCTTCGAACGGTCTTTAAATGGTTGCAAGCCAAAGATTAGCTATAATCCAGCGTGGCCCATCCCAGAAAGCCAGAATGGGAGAAACTGGTTCAATCGTTAGAGACAGTTAATCATATTTAAGGCTTGTTTTGGGAACAAGCATCTCTCTGTGCCAAATGAAAGGATGGAGAGAGTGGGAAAATCTGTTGAAAGACGAATGACATCACAGCCCCCCCAAAAAAGAAAAGGGGATTGTTTGCTTTCTCTCTCACTCGCCTTCAGTGGAATCTTGCAACGTGGAGATTTATTTTAAATTTTATTTCTGGGGAGGAGGCTGCATGATGGCTTCGGGGTTGCAATGCATCCACAAGAACCTATTTGGACGGTTGTAGGTCAGAGTGGTGTTTGACGGATTGTCTGGACTTGTTTGGGGTGTGTGTCTCTGTGTGTGCGCCTGCGTGCGTATTTTGCTTTTTTTTTTTCTTTTTGCTTTTTGAAACAAAAATCAGGATTATGCTGCCACAGCAGGTTTGGGAGCTGGGAGAGGGACCCAGCCAGACAAGTTGTGTTTTTCAGCGGTGGTTTTTGTGGTCCAGCTGGCGAAAAACAAAAGGAGACGAGAAATGGGTCAAACTGTGGGTCATTCATTCTCGTTTTTCATATTTTGGTGTGGGGCTGAGATCTTTCTTTTTATTTTTTTTAAAAGGTTTTATGGGTGCCAAATCGAGGACCAAAATAGAAGGATTTTGGGGGGAACGCGGGTCCTGAACCTGCTTTTTTAAAAAAAACATCCCTCTGAAAAGCAAATAAGAAAGAGGGGAAAAAAAACCCAACTTTGATGAAACTTAAGGATTCACATTAACCGAGGTTAAAATTGTTACAGACACTTCGTTAGTCTTTGGTTTGCTTCAGTACAAACCAGGCCATCCTCGACTTTGGACCACAATAGAGCCCAACATTTATGTCACAAGGTGAGACATGTGTTAACTGAGTTTTGCCTTATTCTACGACCTTCCTGGCCACAGCTGTTAAGTGAATCGCTCCACTTGTTAAATTATGAACACCATTGTTAAGCGAGGAGGGGGTGGGTCAGACTGGATGGCCCCACAAGGTCCCTTCCAACTCTGTTAATCCGTTTTAAAATGGCACCCTAAAAACTGATTTTACATGTCGGAAGGCTGCAAAAGAGGATGGCACAACCCTGGGATAACCGTCGCAAATATGAGTCAGTGGCCAAATGGCCCAATTTTGATCATGTGACCATGGGGATAATGTTACGGTCATATGTGTGAAAAATGGTCCTAAATCCCCTACCATCATAAGTACGAGTCAGTTGCCAAGCATCTGAATTTGCAATACATTTTTTTTAGTTCTTCTTACAATAAATATATCACGGTGTGAACAGTGTGGTTCCGTAGCGTCTTACATTTTGACACAAATACGACAATATTCCTCTCGTTTAATATAGCGGACAATCTTTTAAAATTTGATGTTCATACATATATTTTCTTAAATTATCAATCTTCATTATTCAATATTACAATATTTTATTTTTTGTGTCACTCTCTATATTCTTAACCTTTTACTACCAATTATATATTAATAATTGTAGCAATTACCAGATTATACAATTCTAATAACAATTCACAAATGTACTGTATATTAAATTATAATTTTCCATTGTTTATCCCCTTTTTAATTTCTAAATATGCCATTGTTATATATGTATATAAAATTCTTTCTATTTTGATACAAATACAATAGTATTCATCATATTTACGTTTAACAAGATGCAATTCTAATAATACCGTTATTTTTTATTAAGTTATAGCCTTTCATTATCTTGTACAATACTTCACAACATTGTTTTTGTGTCAATCAAATTCCATATGTCATTCCTTTTCCTACGATAACATGTTAATATTCTTATTTATTACCTTTAGCAGTTATATATAGCTTGACCCCTTCCTCCTCTCTGGGGCTGCCCCTCAAATATTGGAAGACTGCTCTCCTGTCTCCCCTGGTCCTTTTGTTCATTAAAATCAGATTAAAGTCAGATAAACAGAGTTGGAAGGGACCTCGTAGGTCATCTAGTCCAACCCCCCAACCTCAAATATTGGAAGACTGCTATTGTGTTTTTTTACGAGAGATATCCAATTCCTACAACCGTTCATTGAATGTGTTGTGCCTCCAGTCCCCTCATCATCCTGGTTGCTCTTCTCTGCACTTTTTCTAGAGTCTCAACATATTTTTTGTAGTGTGGTGACGAAAACTGGATGCAGTACTCCAGGTGTGGCCTTACTAAGGCTTTACAGAGTGGTATTAGTACGTCCCTTGATTTTGATTGTATCCCTCTGTTAATGCAATTTAGGATTGTGTTGGCTTTTTTGACTGCTGCTACACACCGCTGGCTCCTATTTAACATTCCTTGAGGGCAATGGGAATTATCCTTTGAGTCACCCATACAGTGGCGTGTTTGGGGAAACTGGCAAAAGTTTTTATGGCTTCCTCGAAGATCCGACGTATCAGCAAGCGGAGTTGTGCAAATTCTCCACCGGGAAGGTCAGAACGGAAACGAAAGGAGGAAAAATACGCGAAGAAACAGACCAATTTATTTAAAAAAGAAACAATTCATGAATGATTAACCGTGGGAAAAAAGCAAACCACACCACACAGTCACAATAGCAGGAATCTGGAGGAGAAATTCAATATATTCTACCTTGAGCCAAGTTGGCGAGATCAAACCGAAGGAAAGGAAGTTAAAAAAA